AGGAAATTATTGTAGGTCTCATTAATGGTTTTGTGAACTACATTTTAACTACATCTTAAATATTTGTATCTCATCCATTCATTGTATATATTATAACATAAACTCCTTGAGGATAATATATGGTAATATTGTACTTAGGAATGCATGGCACACAGAAAAACTATGGCTAGATTCATTTCACCCACAATGGGTAAATGGGTTTTGTATTTTTCTTTCCTGCAGGCACTCATAGGTCTCCAAGGTTTAAAGCAGTGGTTCCCAAACTGGGGGCCATGTAGCAGAATGTAGGGGGCTTATGTATATAGAAAACAAAAGGAGTTTAATAAGTTTGTGCAATGCCTTGCAACCACATACGAGAGTCTGTGTAATTACCTCTTTTATCTACTTATGTGTTCTTGACATCAAAAAAGACATTGAGACGTATTAGGATAGTAAATAAATTAATCTTAACTTGTGTATAAGCTTTCTTTAGCTATGTTTCATTTTGTCTTTTATTTATCATTTATCTATTTATTGTTGGAATAGCTTTTTGTAATAATGCCATTTTAATCTACTCTATTAAGGCACATTTTCATGCACATTATCTTACTTCTTTCGTAGTATTTCAATAATTATGTAAGATTCACCAAAGGCAAAAACAAATTTCTTTTTAATTACTTAACTAAAGAAAAAATAAATAGGAATCAATAAAATTACAGGATTTGCTAGCTTGGCTTTTACATGGACTTAATAAGTGTAGGACTATAAAGTCACTGTAGTAACGGGTTATGCTTAGCAGTGGGCCATGGACAAGGATTGTGGATGAAAAGTGGGTAATGACCAGACATCCTTGTTCATCAAAATATGAAGAAAAAAGAGAAAATTCAATAACAACAAACCTTTCACAGATGCATGGGCATCACTGCCTGTATTGACATTCAGGAAGGCACCTGTCCCTAGAGTGATTTTCACATCCCCACGCTTAAAACCACAGGATCCACACAGTGATGCACCTTGATCTGACACCTGTTGATTAGGTATGAATAATATACAGATAGTAAGTCTGTGAAAAATGTATGTACATGTAAAATTATAATGAAGAATAAAAGTAAGCAGCAAAGGAGGCACCAAGACTAACTAAGATTATTTTTATACACTTGTATGAAGAGAAGCAATATCTGTACACCCGAACAAAAAACAACTTTTCAAGATTCATCCTTTTCACCTCTAAACAAAAACTCTCTCACATATAGAAGAAAACAAGGCAAAGTATAACAGCCTTTCTTTCTCTTTCATATAAAGTAGAAAGGAAGTACCATAAATGAAGAACTGAGACAAAATTTTTAGATATGACTAAAAATCTTACCACAACGGTAATAGGTATAGGCGCCCCAAACAACTTGGCAGGGCAGATACCCCAGTCTCCCACAGAGTTTCGGAGCTCTGGGAAAATGTTCCTTGGGATAGCCAATAAGCTTAGGAAGAAGGAATTCCAGTCTTCTATAAAAGGATCATACAAGGCTGTCCCACTAGCATTGGAGTAGTCTGTTGCATGTATCTGAAATGAAATAATTAAACACAATATTGTTAATGCTTAAACAAATCATGACTATAACGAACACAGTAAGGAAGAAAAAAAGGAGCAATAATAAAACAGGAAACAGGAAAGGAAGTAAACTGTACATAAGTATTTCCCAACTTTGACATGTGCTGTGAATGTATCTGACAATGCTCTCATAGGCATCAAGGAATAAATCTAGAGTAGAGTTTTCTGTTGACCAATCCTGTCAGTGTACTAAAAGAGAGATTGGCCTGAAGTTCCTCTTTAAAGTCAGAGAACCTGCTTAGAGGGTTTGCTGGTATATGGAGATTATTAGTGAACCTTTTAGAATATTATGGATACTGGGCATGTAAACAAACTCTCTTCAATAACAAATTCTGACATCCTGTTTTAGGGGCATCTTGTAGTCTCAGGGTAGAGATCATAAGTGGATAAACTCAGGGGGTATCACTACACTAAGGTACCACATCACTAAGGTACCACCTGTCAATTTACCCCACAATCTTTACCACCTGTCCATTTACCCCACAATCTTTACCACCTGTCAGGGAATAGTATTTGATTCACTGTAACCCTTGTATTCTGAAGTACACTAGATGAACTATATATTAAAAAAATATCATCATTTGAAAGAAAGCAAAAAAAACATGCTGTTAATGAATCAGCAGCTGGGGATAAAGAATAAGCAAAGGAGAAACCAAATCTATTAGAGAAAGATATGAACATAACAGATAGCTTGCCCTCACTCTGTTGGCAGATCAGTCATGAGAAAGAAGACAAAAAAGAAAGTAAAACTTAGGCATTAAAAGAGACAGTCAAGAAAGAATGGCTCAAAATTTAAAAAGAAAAGAAAAGGAAAGAGAGAAAAAGAAAGAACTGTCAATCAGCTTGTAGAATCAGGCAAGTAAAAAAAGAGTAAAAAGGAATGACAGAAATATGAAAATGAGAGAGAGAGAGAGA